CCACAACGCCCGGCTATTTTTTGGTTGCAGCCATCATTGTTGTTTGTCAGGTCCGGGCTGGGGATTCGAACCCGCCACCTTAGGTGTACGTGGCTGGTGCCTTAGCCGGTTGAGCTATAGGCGCCGAGCCAGGACTTCTAACCTTAAGACAGATTCCAATGCTTCTGTGCTCAGACAGCCTAAGGGTTTCCCGACTTACTCAGAAACAAAACCAAAGCTCTCAGGGTGGGATATAAGGGCTGGGTTGACACTGACTCTCCCCTACCTGGTGGACCTCAAGCCCCATATTTCTTCTTGTTTCTCAAGACAACCTGCACACTTCTTTTTTTTTTTTTTTTTGACACAGAGACTCTAGTCCCCCTGGGTAGAGTGCTGTGGCATCACAGCTCACAGCAACCTCCAACTCCTGGGCTCAAGGGATTCTACTGCCTCCTCCTCCCAAGTAGCTGGGATTACAGGCATCTGCCATAACGCCCAGCTATTTTTTGGTTGCAGCTGTCATTGTTGTTTGGTGGGCCCAGGCTGGATTTGAACCCGCCAGCTTAGGTGTATGTGGCTGGTACCTTTGCCACTTGAGCCTCAGGTATTGAGCCTTTTTTTTTTTGAGACAGAGTCTCATTTTGTCATCCAGGCTCGAGTCATGGCTTAGGCTGTGGCTTCATAGCTCACAGAAGCCTCAAACTCTTAGGCTCCAGTGACCCTCTTGCCTCAGCCTCCCAAGTAGCTGGACTATAGGCACCCGACACAATGCCTGGCTAGTTTTTCTTTTCTTTTTCTTTTTTATGAGACAGAGTCTCATTTTCACCCTGAGTAGGGTGCCGTAGCATCATAGCTCACAGTGACCTCCAACTCTTAGGCTCAGGTGAGCCTCTTGCCTCAGTTTTTCTATTTTCAGTAGTGTCAGGGTCTTGCTCTTCTTCAGGCTGGTCTCGAACCTGTGAGCTCAAGCAATCCACCCTCCTCGGCCTCCCAGAGCTCTAGGATTACAGGCATGAGCCACCCCTCCCAGCCAATGCTTGGGTATTTTTTCTATTTTTAGTAGAGATGAGGTCTCGCTCTTGTTCAGTCTCGTCTCTAACTCCTGAGTTCAAGCAATCCACCTGCCTCAGCCTCCCAGAGTGCTAGGATTACAGGCGTGAGCCAGCGCACCCTGCCCAGCCAGCCCACCACATTTCTGCCTCAGTTCACTGCATTAACAGTTCCCACTGCCTGAAATGTTCTATTTCCAGAAATCAGATTAGCCAATTCCCTCACTGCCTGTCACCTTCTGTTCAAATGTGGCATGATAAGAAGGACCTTCCTCAGCCTTCAAACTGAGACATAAACTCCTGCCCTCCAACCCGAGCCCAGCTCTCTCCACTTTGCTTTGTAGTTTTCCTCAGAGCGTCCAGCGTTTGAAATACTCAGTGTTTACTAACTTATTTGTTTATTATTCATATATCTTTCTTCACCCCCACAACAATACAAGCTCTATGGGAGCAAGGACTTTATTATTTTATTGAATCCCTAGTACCCAAACAGTTTCTGACGCATGGTAGGCACTTCACCAATATCTGTTTCGGGAATGAAAAGAGATCCATCTTTTGATATATTATACTGAGAGTGTTGAATACAAGTTGTTAATAATGGGAAAGCACGGCTCAGCGCCTGTGGCTCAAGCGGCTAAGGCGCCAGCCACATATACCTAAGGTGGCGGGTTTGAATCCAGCCCGGACCCGCCAAACAACAATAATGGCTGCAACCAAAAAATAGCTGGGCGCTGTGGCAGGCGCCTGTGGTCCCAGCTAC